GACCGTGCATCTATGCCTCGGGTGGTCAAAGCTATTCTGCAATTTGGGTTCATGGCTGAGAATGGCCTTCCAGTTATGGCTCTTTGCATCGCGCTGCAGCAGGGAATCACGGTGACCAGAAGCCCAGATGCCCTGTTGATGGGCATCGCAGTACCGGTGCAATGTGGTGTACCGGTATGTGTTCCATGTACGATTTGGTAGCTCCTGTAAAATAGCTTTTACGGTAGAGTGGTAGTGCGAGTCAAAGTAGAAAGTATCAATAGGAGTTGTCCATGTTGTACCGGCAGCTCGTTTATAGCGTACGGTAGGATGTGTATCCCGGTTGTAGTTGTACTTTGCCATGATAGTTTGTGTTTCTATTGGAAAGTGTCCCAATTAAGACAAGACTCTCCAAGGAGTCTGCAGAGCAGTCGTCATAGAGCAGAGCAGTCGTCATATTTCAGATCTCAATCATACAGCACACTAGATTGCAAATTACAAAGTTAATGAGGATATAACGAGACGAAAATAACTACCACTGGTATAGATACGAGGCTAACGAGGCTACTAACTAGCGTAAGGGCGGGAGGGTGGGTTCTAGATTCAGATCTAGAAATGATTCGACTAGGTGGCAGGTCTGTGGACCTGCCACGAGATAAGGAGCAGATGACTCCTTACTGCATAATCCTTTACAAGTCTTGTCATAATCTTTAAATTTTGAAATTTGTATTTAAAAATTTTACATATTAAGACAAGACTCTCCAAGGAGTCTGCAGAGCAGTCGTCATAGGAGATAAGAGACATTAGGTGCGTCGGGAGCAAGGCTCTAGAACTCAGGGTTTTACCTTAGTAGGGAAGGACGGAATGGAATGGAGGAACTATATACCCTCACCTACTATTGTGGGGGAGGTTCCCAAGAAGAGAACAATGAAAGAAGTATCAGATGCGCGTAAGAATCGAGTGGGCAATAAGTTGCACAGTGATTGTCGCAAGAAATCGTCAGTAGCGATGAGGCGCCATCCATCTCGTAAGAGAACCTAAATAAAACCCTTTGGCAGTCGTTCGAGGATGTTAGTCGTTTATCCGACGACCGAGCACGTAAGTGATGAAGTCGGGAAGTTATGGTAGCTAACCATAGTTGTTGAATTGAGCATAATGTCAACATTGTGCAATAACATCACGTCACTTCGATGTAGGGCGGGCCTTTCGCAGCATGACTACATGACTAAGTCGTATTTACCGTAGATCACGGTCGATGACGTATTGCTCACGTTAACATGTTGATGCACTGGTTGCATGGTATGCAAACGATGTTGCCTCGAGTATTAAGGCTGAAGACTAGTGGCATGTTGCTGCAAAGGAGTTGTGAAGCACACACCAAACTTTGACGCATTTCCAATGTGTACAATGCATACAGCTTGTGTAACCAGCTTACAATCCGGTGCCCTTGATAGGGCATTCGTTGTCAATTAACAGCAAAACATGCAGTATCGAATTTAGCGCCTCTGTAAATACGGTAGCACTATGTGTTCAAGGTTCAATAGATGCAGGAGCCATGAAAAGGGGAACCAACGGTTAGTACGCAATGGAAAAACCATGCTATACGATATGGGAAATTTTATGAAACGTGAGCCATTACGACATGGAATATCATCAGTGAAGTGGGTGTGTGAGGGCAAGCAACCCGCCTCTCGACGAGATCCACCTTTTGTATAGACCAAAAGGTCCGAATCACATCAGCTATAAGGTTAGATGTGCGCATAGAAGCGACAACCAACCAAATATTTCCAATCCATCCTCCAGCATTATGCTCGTAACGTGTATGCTCAAGACACGAGTTTGTGTTAACAAAAGTGCAATGATGTTGACAGATCGCACGCCAGATCGATATCCTTCCCCTTTAGGTGGTGTGACTTCATAAAAAGACGAAAGACTTCAAGGTGAGGGGCTGTGAAATGGTCAATCCAAATGGGGTATACACGTCACAACGAGTCCGAAGAAATCAAGTACGTGTGCGCTATCCACATGGACTTTCATGTCCTGGTGGGTTTTTCTACAATGAATGTTCATGTATGATATGTGAATGTAAGAGGATCCTTGTGCATGTATCCAAGCGTGCTGTAAAAAAAAAACGGCTTGTGGCTCCCAACAAGAGCCTTCAATTAGCACATGGATATGGTCACACCAAGACGCTGGCATGGCTTGTCATACCGCGAAAGACTATGTCGTATACTGGAAATTGCTCCGAAATGCAGACCTTGCTAAAACCGAACGCTGAAAATCAGGGATTGAACATAAAAACGTTGAAAGTTCGACAATGATGACGCGTTTACGATAGGTCTCAAGGCGATGAGAATAGTTTTTTTTTTTTTTTTTTTTGGAGTCGACAACTTTCTGTATAGCGCCAACTGAATGAGAACAAGTACTCGACAATTGCGTAAACGATGTGCGCGTTTGCGTCACAGTCAGCCGAATCACTTCAGCGCCATAATTATGAGGAGTAGTGGTACGTCCGAGCGATAGCTTAGGAAGGGAGTGTTACCATTTACGGAAAAACACATCATAATGTTGAAATGGCAGCAAGGGTTGAATTGAACTCGACCACGTAGTTTTGGCAATTTCTGCATTAAGGCGCCGAATAATTGAGAGATATGGTACCGTAGATGGCAAAATTACTTTGGAAATGCCTCATTATCACGGCCCTCAGGGTACCCGTTTTTTTTTTTTTTTTTTTTTTTCTTTTTCTTTTTTGGATGCACGGTGATATCACCAGTTTTCAGCGTAAGTACGCATATGCTCGACAACAAAGTCGACACTATTGTCCAACCATTGCAAGTTTGCGATTTAGCCAGCAGAAAAATCCATCGCCGTAATTGAAACGGGTGTGCGTCCCAATAGAAGGTACGGTAGAAGCGTGTTAAGTGCTTCACATCCCATAATAGGGGAAGAACGCGTTACTAATTATTATGAGGCGTACAAATCCGGCATACCGCATATTAATTCAGACATAATGATGCACGCGGACGGCCTCTTATGCTGCACGACACAATACTGCAAGTGTCATGCTCTGGCCCTTACACTGAATCATAATCTTCTTTGGGCCTTGTCTTTTTTTTTTTTTTTTTTTTTTTTTTTTTTTAAGGCCATAATTTTATAGGCCACCACAATCTTTTAACACCAAATCAAGAGTTACACCAGTAACTGCAATTTCAGTTTGCACATAGCAGCGAGGGCAACTTCTCGTCCCTCATAGCTGTGGTAGCTGCTGTGTCGTCAGGCAGAGCAGCACCATCTCGATCTCGATAGCACCAGCAAATCACGCCACAGCAGATGCGCTATTGAGGCAGCAGCAGCGACCGCACGCTAGCAGCGGCGATCGTGCACCAGCAATGGCGATCGCAGGCCAGCAAAGGCGATCGCGCGCCAGCAGCGCAGATCGTGCCCAGCAGCAGCAATCACGGAGTAGCTGCAGCGAACGCGAAGTAGCAGCGGCGATCGGGCAGCCGTAGCAGAAGCGATCGCGCAGCAGCAGAAGCGACCGCACAGGAACAGCGATCGCGCGGCAGCCGCAGCAGCAGCGATCGCACAGCAGTGGCGATCGCACAGCAGCAGCGATCGCGAAGCAGGAGCAGCAGCGATTGCGCGGCAGCAGCAGCAGCAGCAGCGATCGCACAGCAGCGGCGATCGCACAGCAGCAGCGATCGCGAAGTAGCAGCAGCAGCAATCGCACAGTAGCAGCAACAGCGCACAGCAGCGGCAACATTGATCGCACAGCAGCAGCAGCAGCGGCGATCTCGCAGCTCCAGCAAGATTCGTGCGCAGCAGCAGTAGCGATCATGCATCAGCAGCAGATAACAGGATAGCAGTAGCGATAGGACACCCGCAACTGCAGCGGTCTTGCCACATGCCACCGTGAGTTTGTTCCAACCGCAACAGCAGCAGCCGTTGTCTCGCCATGCGCAGCGTAAGCAGCAGCGGCTCGTCTCATAGCAGCAGCAACCGTCCCGGCAGCAGCAGCAGTCATAGTCGCTGCAGCAGCATCGCCAGCTCCAAGAGGTCGCAACGACCGCAGCGGCCGAAACGAACACCTCCTATGCAGCAGTATCGAGGAAGATCGCCACTGGTAGAAGCAGCGGCAATATGTTCCGCGCAGTATGTTGCACGTAGATGTATCAGCAGTGTATATTATGATTTTGCCATACAAAAAACGATTTTTGTACTTGCAATTGCAGAAACTTCCAGCAGATATCGCTTCATTCGTAGAAGCAGCATGTACGAAGTTCTCGTCATGTACGAGGTAGCAGCAATGGCGGGCGAGTTAGTCTAGGAGGGTGGAAAAGTTCCCTAGGTGTGCTGTTCTAGATTCAGATCTAGAAATGATTCGACTAGGTGGCAGGTCTGTGGACCTGCCACGAGATAAGGAGCAGATGACTCCTTACTGCATAATCCTTTACAAGTCTTGTCATAATCTTTAAATTTTGAAAATTGTATTTAAAAATTTTACATATCTTAGGGTGCTGGGCTCAAGATACAACGAGATGAGAGGTGAGGTGATTACAGTAGTCGTGCCGGTACCGTATGTTGTCGACAGGGGAATGCTCTGAAGGGGATGGATGCACTCCACTGCTTGTATTGCCAAGGGATTTGTGCTTGTATGGGTGGGAGGGCTTGCATTCCCATGGACCCATAGCTGATCCAGGCACCAACATCCAGAAGGCTGAAGTGTTTCGAATTCATAAGCAGGACCTCTGTGTGAACCTTATCTTTCACCCAGCTGCATGCAGGAACGTAAATGAAAAGGTTGGGCTGGGATGCGGGTGCACATTCCATACCACATAATGCAAACGCAACCACGCAGAACATCATTGCTAGCCAATACCGATTAAGCAGAGGTATACAGTGAGGAATGACTGTTTGCACAGCCAGACCAAGTACGTTACTACCGGTAGCTAGTGCAAGCTATACTTGCACAATGACCCATCTGTACGGAGCTAATAAATTCCCAAATCGCTGTCAGGCTATCAGCTCCGGCCTTCGGATATGGTGTCCAACATGGTTCTATATTGCGCCAGATCCTGGGAGTGACAGACGTTTTGTGGGAGTAAGGGAAGAGAAGTGGGATTTATGGGGAAGAACCCACAACAGGGGACACAGCAAGAACGAAACATTCACTGCATGTGCGGTGAGTCGGATGGGAAGGGTTGGGGGGAGTGGAATGGAGTAGGTAGCAACAAAGAGGAAGGGACAAAGACATGAGTAGGCACAGAGGGCACGTTATAACTGCGTGTGCAACGGCACTGACAAACCCTTCGCGAATTCTACTACCCTCTGCGAACAAAATCCCAGCACCTCTCCCTGCAATTTTCTCAGAAACATCTGCGCGGCAAAGGGTCTCACCTCTGTGAGTGCAAAGACGCCGATATCGTTTGAGCGGAGGGGAGAGCCCCTGCGGAGGAACTTGCTTCCTTGGAAGATGTAGAGCATGGGGACGCCCGTAGAGAGCTCCAGCTCAATCACCTGCATCATCATCAGCGAGTCACATCAAAAGGCAATGGCAGTGAGAATCAGGGGAATCAAAGTGGTGAATCCGGTCTCCATTTGAAGATGGTTCCTTGGAAGATGTAGAGCATGGGGACGCCCGTGGAGAGCTCCAGCTCTACCACCTGCAGCGTTTCGTGTAAAATTTGGACAACACAATTGGGGTGAAATTCAAGGGGATCAAGGAGGTGAATCTGGACTCGACTATAAACTGCTCCGTTGAAAGATGTAGAGCACGGGGACACCTGTGGAGAACACCAGCTATCACATGCAGCGTTTCACATCAAAACGCAATGGCATAAGAAACAGGGGAATAAACTTCTGAAAGACATAAGCGAAACTACCATGCAAATCAATGAATATAGTAATTGCCCCTCCCACACCATTCCTGGACGACTAGAGGTCGTTAGAACAATTCGCATCAATTACTTTACTTCCTCCTCACAACCTTCCCGGTCTCTCCCTACTATTTCCCCTCCCAAAGCTTATCACTCCGTAAATATGCATTCACATGGCCCACTCACACTGATTTTGTTCAGAAAGTGCGCGGAACGAAATGTAACATGGCACTTCAGACGGACATGACCTACCTCCTGTGAAATGACGCTGTCAAGGTACGCGATGATGGCGCGAATCGAGTTGCCATGTGTTTCGAGATGTCTCAAAACACGGAAGATGACATACCTCCTGCGACATAAGGCTGTCGAGGTTCATGATGATGGCGCGAAGCGAGTTGCCATGCGCACGCCGCAATCATCACATTCTCGCCAGCCGTGAGTCTTGGTTCCACGTGGTATTTGAAATACGCCACGGATTCCCTAAATTTGTCTCTCCGTGCAGACGCACTCACCAAAAAAGGGCACGCTCTGAGTCTCGGCTCCACTTCACGTGATCCTTGATATATGTCACAGCGCGCTCAGCGCACATAGCGAGCTGATCATTCTAGTGCTCCCTTCTCTCAGAGTTGCACAGAGCGGAACATAGCAGTTCACACGGCACGTGACATACCTCCTGCGACGTAAGGCTGTCAAGGTACATGATGATGGCACGAAGCGAGTTGCCATGCGCCGCAATCATCACATTCTCGCCAGCCGTGAGTCTCGGCTCCACATTTTCCTTGAAGTATGCCACAGCGCGCTCAGCGCACATGGCGAGGGACTCGCCGTTGGGAGGCGGGACGTCGTACGATCGACGCCAGAGAACGACTTGCTCCATGCCGTACTTGTCTGCCGTCTCCTTCTTGTTCAATCCTTGGAGTTCTCCGTACCTGAAGGTCAGGGTTGGGAAAGGTTGGATTGGGGGTGCACGCGTATGACTGACTTGTTTGACTGCTGACTCCCGGTTCAAACCCAGGAGTCACACGCTAGATTCTCACGGCTGGTTGTAGCACGAGAGGGTGAGGGTAAAAAATATATATATTTTTCTGGAAATCGTTTCCAGTATCCGATGATACTGTGATAAGTCTTTGGATGACTGGCGGCCGACTGAGAGCATGGGCATTTACGAAACAGCACGAGTCAATATGCTTCAGCCAAACGTGTTATGGGGATTCATACCAGACGGAATACACACCAGCGAAGTAAGTTTCTGCACCTGACAACGTCAAGATGGAACAGAAAACAAAAAGAGAACCATGCGACTCACATGCGTTCGTTCAACTCCCACGCAGTGATCACGGGAATGATCCCCTCGTCAGTGTTCTGGCTGAAGATTCGACACTTCACATCATTGTGATTCGACACTTCACACCAAGGACAAGTAATATGATGTGGCTTACATGCGTTCGTTCGGTTTTCACGCAGTGACCACGGGAATGGTTTCCTCGTCGGTGTTCTGGCTGTATTATTTTCGGGTCGACTCAAAACTCCGTGGAACCAAAAACGAGAACGAATGACGCGACTCACATGCGTTCGTTCAGCTCCCACGCAGTGATCACGGGAATGATCTCCTCGTCAGTGTTCTGGCTGAAGATTCGGCACTTGACATCATTGTGACTGAACCAAGTAGTATGATGTGGCTTACATGCGTTCGTTCAGCTCCCACGCAGTAATGACGGGAATGATCTCCTCGTCGGTGTTCTCGCTGAAGATTCGGCTCCAGTCCTTGGCTCTCTGGCTCTCCTCGTGCAGGATGACAGGAACCTGGACGAGCGCGCGATATAAAAGGGACAGGAAAAGCGAGACGGGTGAAGAACGGATAATAGTAGCGAGAGTTAGTCTGGGCTGGAGTATGGTCCAAGACCTTTGACATTGCAGTGCAGAGGGTGTGTAACCTGTTCCGATGTTAACCTTTTGGGTGTTCTATCAGGAATGAAAAACCATGGTTCACGAGCAAAAACCGACATAGGAAGAAACATTCACTCCTCATTGTGATGATTACAAGGCCGTTCTCACCTTGTTACGGCGATGCTGCGTCATGGCCAGCATGGCGGTCATTTGAGCGCGGATCAACGCGGAGGTGAAAATGACATCAACGGGAATCTCGGAGATTCTCTTTCCTGCCTCAATGGCCTCATTGACACCCTTCTCCGACAGAGGAACGTCCACGCAGCCTGTGAATAGGTTCTTAGAGTTCCAGAGAGACTCGCCATGGCGGATAAGGATCAGCGCAGCGGCCTCTGCGCAACACAGGTTTGGGGAATAATTAGGAAATGGAGAGTTTAAAAAGGCTGTCACGGAGACGCTGACAATGGCGGGAACGTTCCGCGAAACGCACGGATGAGCGAGCGACTCCCAGAAAAAAATGCTTTGACTCTTCAAGGCTAATATAAGAAATTAATGCAGAAGAATCCGGTATACTTTCTGTCGCTGCTCCGTTTTGTTGAGCGTCCGAAGCGGCCTCAGCACGAATGGCTCTCCGAACCGAAGTTGATCCTCTGCATATTATCAAACGGTCCGTTTATCAGTCTTTCCGTGAAGTCCTAAGCCCAATACTCAACATAAAGAAGTTTTAAGCATTGACTAACCTTAACTGGTGGTTGGCAAAGCGAGCGATACGTACCTTGCGACCTTCGCGTGAGACTTCAGGTTGGAATGGAGGGATGTAGCTGATGCTGATCGGAAGAAGGCAGCATTCACGACAGACTTCTTTGAAACTGGATCAGAAATGCTCTTCAATGACTGACGGCAGTGAACTGCATTTCCAGCTTGAAGGGCCGCCATGTTGTGAGGATAGTGAAATATCCGGAGGTCAGCGAGAAGTTACCAGCACCAAGCTGATCGAGACACGAATGTCTGTTTGGATCAAATAGCGAACAGCAGCCACTTAAACCTTCTTCTATATCGAATAACAGCCGTTTAGACTTAGCTGAGAACAACGGATATTATTCTGGCTTTTTAGCTTGCTTGGACTCCTGATTGGCTTTATCAGAAGCCAAAGAGTATTAGAAACCACTGAGCCAGCTAAAGCCTTCGCCACTCCTCCACCACAGGACACGCTAGGGAGTGAGAAGAATCAATCACAACCTCCAATGCAGAACAGCCAGCCCACAAGCCAACCTCCACTGCACTCACTGAACCACGATCTCAAATCCTTCAGCTCATGCATGATGGTTGTTGTTCGGTTTACTGCGTTCCAGAGCGGTGGTCAAATGCACCGTGTTATAGCGGTAAGGACCTATTTGAACCGGCTGCCAGTAAGCCTGACAACAATGCTGGCCATTCCCATGTGACACCACCAAAGGAACATGCCAAACCAGCATGAGCCAATCATCAACTAGAATCTGAAAACCATTTGCCAGCGAAGCCTAAATTCTCCTGCTCCGTGCCTGTAATCGACGTTCGGAGGGCTTGAGAAGGCCCGCGCATTTCAGCGTCGCCGAGCCGAGGATGCAGCTGGTCAGACCCTCGGAACAGATTCTTCTCGTGAATGTTCGTGGGACGTCGCTAGGCCATAGGCGACACTCGTGACAGCTCTTGGAAATCGCGAATTCGGGCGAGGGAAGATTACCGCCGTTCGTCTCGAGGTTCTTGCAGCTGGGAGGGCTCGATCAGCCGCTCGCGCGCCATTGGATGATAAATACGAGGTGCGCGGAAGTTCGAGGTTATGGGATCCTCGGTGTCCCGTGCCAGGACGAACCCTCCCGAACACGTGGCAAAGTTCTGTAGGCTATAAGTTAGCCAATCGAGTTTCGCTTCTTAGCCTCCAATCTAGGATTGCCATGCAAAAAAGTAGCTCATCCAATAACGATAATGGAGCGGTAAATGTCACATTCGCGTCATTCCAGATCAGCTGGCCCGGTCGCCACCACAATTCCCTCAAGCCGCTGAACCTCACCGCTGGACATTGTCCTCCTGACAGTTCCATGCCTCACGAAGTGACCCATCTGACGAAAACACTATCCGATATCCAACATAATTGGAGAGCACTCTCCTACTAATTGTAGTAGTGTAGCGAAGAACTTCTAAACTCAACAAGAATGTACTCCAACTTCCATGAGATATAAAGGAGGTTATCAATAGGACAATTGACACCAATTTAGGTGGAACATGTTAAAACCAGGGTGCACATTCAATTGGATTTCTGTCAAAGGTTAACCTTTGACCTCGGGGTTACTCAGTGATTTAGGAATATCTGGGGGGAGTGTTCGCTTCAGCAGGTGAACATTTGAACCCTCGAGATTTGGCAAATGTATACCGAAGTCATCGAATGTGCTTCCGCCAATTCGTTTCCCCCCTCCCCATACCTATTCCGCTCCCACCGAAATTGTTTCCCCTTCCCCCACAATATCGTCTCACCCCTTTTCCCCTTTCCGCCAACCCAGTTGCCCTCCCCTTGATCCCCAATTTCTAGATCCAAGTGTTATCAATTTCTCCCCTGCCAAGCCTCATCTCTCACGGACGAAAAGCCCCATGCTCGCCCATTCTCAACTATTTATTCGCTACTCGTCAACCAATCAGCAGTTCCCGCAAACATGCCGCCCAAAATTTAGCCTGGAGTCGCGTTGAATGTGTACCCTGGTTTTAAGACCTTCCAGCACTTGGCCAAACGTGATTCATATTGGTGGAGAGACACACCCAGATTTTTTAGAGTGTAGCGGTGGTGGTGGTGCCGCTGCCTCTGCTGCTGGAGGAGTCTCCTCCAAGCACATCTTCTAGATTCTTTAATATACGCCCCGATTCAGGCTGCGGCAACAGGTCCTCAAACATTCCATGGTCGACTGAAAAGAAGTAACCTCAGTGCTCATTCTCTAGGCCGAGAATCTCCTCCAGACTCCTTATAACATGCCCCAATTTAGGACGCTGTAATGGGTCCTCATTCACGCACTGCTTCCCAAGCATAAGCAGCTTCGTTGCCCCTTCTCTACTGTACACTCCGCGCAGCCTCTTATCCATAACGGTACACAAGTAAAAGGGGACAGATGCATGCACATTCTCCTGCTCCTGCTGCTCCCACTGATGCTGCTGCTGCTGTTGTCGATCTCGTTGCTGCTCCAGCTGCTGATGTTGCTGCTTCTTGTGACGTTCCCTCCCCTCCCACTGAAGCTGCTGCGGCTGCTGTTGCTGTTGTTGTTGTTGCTGCTGCTGCTGCTGCTGCTGCTGCTGCTGCTGCTGCTGCTGCTGCTGCTGCTGCTGCTTCTGCTCCTCCTCCTGCTGCTGCTGCTGCTGTACAGACTGTTCACAGCGATCCAAGTGTGTGAGAGCCCAGGGCAGGAGGCAGCGGGTCTTCTCAGCAGCACCCGGCGACCTGCCTGTTGCCAGCTCCAAAAGCACCACCCCCAGCGAGTAGATGTCACTGCGCGCGGTGAGGTGGCCTGGAGGGGGAAATGGTTGGGTTGGGAGCATTGGATGGCACACACAAATGTGGTTCAGTGCTCTTCAGTGTGGTGGGTGTTGCGAGCAGCAGCACCCGGCGACCTGCCTGTTGCCAGCTCCAGCAGCACCACCCCCAGCGAGTAGACGTCACTGCGCGCTGTAAGGTGACCTGCAGACATGAGGGTGGGGATGGGGGGAGGAGTGCCTACAGCCATGAGGCGACCTGCCTGTTGCCAGCTCCAGCAGCACCACCCCCAGCGAGTACACGTCACTGCGCGCTGTGAGGTGGCCTTGAGTAAGCGAAGGAAGAAGGGGGTAGGGGGTATTGGGAGGGGGTTGGGGGTGGGTGGAGGGAAGGAGTGTTGGGTGTTCTCAGCACAGCAGCACCCGGCGACCTGCCTGTTGCCAGCTCCAGCAGGACCTCTCCCAGCGAGTAGACGTCACTGCGGGCCGTCAGGTGGCCCAGCGGGAAGAGGGGGGAGGGAGGGGTGTGGGGGGGTGGGGGAAGGGATACCTATGGGCATGAGGCGACCTGCCTGTTGCAAGCTCTAGCAGCACCACCCCCAGCGAGTACATGTCACTGCGTGCGGTCAAGTGGCCTGACGGGGACAGAAATGGGGGGCGGGGGTTGAGGAGGCATCATCTCAACAGCACCGCTCCCAGCGAGTAGATGTCACTGCGTTCCGTCAGGTGGCCTGGAGGGAGGAGGGAATAAGGAAAAGGGAAGGGGTGAGGGGTTATCCGCTCAACAGCAGCACCGCTCCCAGCGAGTAGATGTCACTGCGTTCCGTCAGGTGGCCTGGAGGGAGGAGGGAATAAGGAAAAGGGAAGGGGTGAGGGGTTATCCGCTCAACAGCAGCACCGCTCCCAGCGAGTATATGTCACTGCAGGCCGTGAGGTGGCATGATGGAAAAGGGGGGCATGCAGGATCGGAGGACACTTCAAGTGGAATAACGCGTACTAATACCTCACTGAACCCATTTTTACCACACTGCACCCACCCATCTCCACCACAATGAACCGCGGTGAACCCCTCCTCACCTGTGTCGATGTACGAAAGGTCCAGGTAATCCAGGGTGCCGACGATGCGAGTCGAAACATGCGACTTGCCCACCCACCCACCATCCCACCAACCAACTCATGTTAATCCTCATTGGGCACCCATCTCCACCGCACTGAACCCCTCCTCACCTGTGTCGATGTATGAAGAATCCAAGTACCCCAAAGTCCCCGTGATGCATGTTGATACGTGCGACTCGCCCAACCCACCCACAGCCCCACTCATGCTATCCGCATTGGCCACCCATCTCAACCGCACTAAACCGCACTGCACTGCACCGAACTGCACATAACCGGGCCTCACCTGTGTCAATGTACGAAGGGTCCAAGTACCCCATTGTCCCCATGATGCGAGTAGACACATGCGACTTGCCTGCCTTAGGCCCTGCTGTGGCCACTCCCTACCCCACAATCCATGTTCATCCACCTCAATCGCACTGAACAGCACTAAACCGCACTCAACCAATGTAAACCCCTCTGTACCTGTGTCAATGTACGAAGGGTCCAGGTACCCCATTGTCCCCATGATGCGCGTCAACACATGCGACTTGCCCACCCACTGCCGCACAGCATAACTCGAGTTTGTCCAGTTTGGCACCCATCTCCACCGCACTAAACCGCACTGAACCGCGCCTCACCTGTGTCAATGTACGAAGGGTCCAGGTACCCCATTGTCCCCATGATGCGCGTCAACACATGCGACTTGCCCACCCACTGCCGCACAGCATAACTCGAGTTTGTCCAGTTTGGCACCCATCTCCACCGCACTAAACCGCACTGAACCGCGCCTCACCTGTGTCAATGTACGAAGGGTCCAAGTACCCCATTGTGCCCATGACGCGCGTCGACACGTGCGACTTTCCCGCCTCGGGCCCTGCCGTTGCCACTCACTACCCCACAATCCATGTTCATCCATATCCACCGCATTGAATAGCACTGTACCACACTGAACCGCACTGAACCCCTCCTCACCTGTGTCAATGTACGAAGGGTCCAAGTACCCCATTGTCCCCATGATGCGCGTCGACACATGCGACTTGCCTGCCTCAGGCCCTGCTGTGGCCATTCACTATGCCACAATCCATGTTTATCCCTCTCCACTGCACCGCAATCAACCCATTTAAAGCCATCCATACCTGTGTCAATATACGAAGGGTCCAAGTACCCCATTGTCCCCATGATGCGTGTCGACACGTGCGACTTTCCCGCCTCAGGCCCTGCAGTTGCCATCCCGAAATCCGTCAGCTTCGCACGCATGTGCTGTGGATGGGTGGAGAGGGGTTGTTAGGGGTGCGAGTGGGTGAGAGGCCTCAGAGCATCAGGCGCTGCGACTTGCCCGCCTCGAGCCCTGCAGTTGCCATTCCGAAATCCGTCAGCTTCGCACGCATGTGCTGTGGAGTGGGGAGAAAGGCCGAGAGGGGTGAGAGTGGGTGAGAGGGCGGTGAGAGGCTGCAGAGAGCAACTGGCACAGCGACTTGCCTGCCTCGGGGCCTGCTGTGGCCATCCCAAAATCTGTCAGCTTCGCACGCATGTGCTGTGGAGTGGGGAGAAAGGATGAGAGAAAGGGACCTGCTCGCCTCGGGCCCTGCAGTTGCCATTCCGAAATCCGTCCGCTTCGCATTCAGGTGCTGTGGGGGTTGGGGGGGAGGGGGTGAGAGAGGGGGTGAGGGAGGGGGTGAGAGAGGGGGTGAGGGAGGGGGTGAGAGCGGGGGCTGAAAGCTTGAGTGAGAGGCCGCATCTGGCATGGAGACTTGCCTGCCTCGGGCCCTGCAGTTGCCATTCCGAAATCCGTCCGCTTCGCAGTCACGTGCTGTGGGGGGGTGGGGGGGAGGGGAGGGAAAGGGGAGAGGAAAGGGAGAGGTGTATTCGACAACTGATGTCGGGACGAGAGGGCTTTTGAGGCACCTCGAAAGGGGGGGGCTTTTGAGGCGCCTCAAAAAGGGGGGAAGGGAAAGGGGAGAGGAGAGGGAGAGATGTATGCGACAACTGATGTCAAAATCTGTCAGATCTGTCAGATCCGTCAGATCCGTCAGATCCGTCAGATCTGTCAGATACGTCAGAAAGGAAACGATGGACAACTGAGACGGAAAGATGTCAGAATGAGAGGGCGGGTGAGACGATTTTTGAGGCACCTGAAAACCAAAATGGTGACAGGGAGAAAGGAGACGATGGACAATTGAGAGGGGAAGATGTCAGAATGAGAGGGCGGGTGAGAGAGGAGGTTGCGACGGAGGGCAAGAGGGAGGCTGAGATTAAAGTCACAGCAGGAGCTCAGCCCACCCTGCTCACCCTGCTGTGAGCAACCTCAACCACAACCTCACAGCAGGGTGAGAGAGCAGGTTGCGACGGAGGGCAAGAGGGAGGCTGAGGTTGAAGTCACAGCAGGGTGCCGTTGTTAGTCAGGTGTGTTTTGAGTCGACTCAAAACACACCCGGAGGGCAAGAGGTAGGTTGAGGTTGAGCTCACAGCAGGATGAGCTGAGCTCCTGCTGTGTGCCATTCAAGAACTCAATGGCTGTGTGCCGTTGGTAAATTATCTCATCCTGAAGAAGGCTTGCAGCGGATCGAAACCAGCTGATTTCAATAATTGGCTGTGTGCCGTTGTTAGTTACCTCATCCTGCTGGCCGCAGTACGCCAGTGCAGATGCACCCTGTACGCGTTATTACCACATTCAGCAAAATGTTGCTCGTCTGGAAGTCCCGGCGAATCACGTTCAGCCCATGCAAAAACACCCTATACGCGTTATTACCTCATCCAGCAAAATGTTGCATGTCTTGAAGTCCCTGTGAATCACGTTCTGCCCGTGCAGGTACTCCAGCCCTCTTGCCACGTCCACAGCTATGCGCACGCGCTGCTGCCACGTCAGCACAGGCGTGGCGGGATCAACGGCACTGGCAGCAGCACCAGACACACCCCTAGCCGCTGCAGCAGCTGTAGCAGCAGCATCCCGTATAGCAGCATCATCTATAGCAGCAGCGTTATCTGTAGCAGCCTCACTCATACCCCCCCACCTCCGCTTCCTCTCCTCCCCCTCCCCCTCCTCCTCCTGCTCCTCCTGCTGACGTGGATACAGCCACGTGTGCAGATTCCCCCTCTCTATAAGCTCATACACCAGCAATGCAGCAGCACCCCCCCGGGGCCGATTCAAGTCCACACAGTACCCTAGCAGCCGCACCAGATTAGGGTGGTTTAAACTCCCAAGCATTATAATCTCTGACATACACTCATCTACGGCCTTGAAACTGCCGCTGTGTAGCACCTTCACTGCCACGTCACGCTGACGTGGCGTCCCACCTCCACCACCACCACCACCTGAAGCACCACCACCCGCTCTTCCTGCTCTTCCTGCTCTCCCTGCTCTTTCTTCCTCGGTCCTCTGCGCTTTCCCTCCTCCTCCTCTCTCCTCCCCTGGAACCTTCCTGTCATCTTCCTCGCCGAGCCACTCCTCCACCGAGCCTCGGTACACCGTGCCGAAGCTGCCGCGGCCCAGGATCTGGCTCGGGCCGAACCACTGCGTGGCCTGCTGTAGCTCGCGGTAGGTGAACCGGCGGAGTGGTAGCGTGGACCAGGTCTCGTCCGTTGTTGTGAATCGGCTGCCTGTCACTGGCAGGTGGAAAGGAGGGGAAGAGGGGCAGGAGGGGAAGACATAGGAAGAGAGGCAGGTGAATCGGCCACTTGCCTTTGAAAATTCTCAAGATCCATATCGGCGGAGTGGTAATGCGGACCAGGTCTCGTCCTTTTGAGAATTCTCAAAAAACATACTCCGTTGAGAGGGGCACTGGTAGTGCCCCTCATCCGTGGTTGTGAATCGGCTAGTGCCGGACGCTGGTAGGAGGGGAAGACGTGGGGAGAGGAAGGAGGGGAGGCAGGAGGGGAGGCAGGAGGGGAGGCAGGAGGGGAGGCAGGAGAGATTGGTCCTTGAGAGAATTCTTAGAAACTACTAGCTTGGTGGAGTGCTGTTGACGTGGTCCAGGTCTCGTCCGTGGTTGTGAATCGGCTAGTGCCGGACACTGGCAGGAGGGGAAGACATGGGAAGAGAGGCAGGAGAGATTGTGCGAGATAAAGAGGAGCCACCGCGTGGCCTGCTGGAGGTCGAGGTGAGGTCACTTTGAGGAGGCGAGGCTGCACGCGATGGAGTGGACGGCAGCCAAGCCATGTAAGTGGAACCACGGCCGTGAGCGGTGCACGTGGCAGCACGCGCCAGCACCCACCTGAGGAGGCGCGGCTGCAGGCGATGGAGTGGACGGCAGCCAAGAAGTACAAGTGGAAGGGGAAGGGGAAGGGGAAGGGGAAGGGGAAGGGGAACCAACCACGACTTTGGTCGGCGCTGGCGAGGAGATGAAGAAGAAGGTCTATACTGAGAGCAAGAGAAATGAAGAATACTGCGAACAAGAGCAAGAGAAGAAGAAGAAGAAGAGAAATGAAGCATACTGCGAGCAGCGCAAGTGGCAGCACGGACCTGAGGAGGCGAAGCTGCAGGCGATGGAGTGGACGGCTGCGAAACCATGCAAGTGGAAGTGGAACCACGATCGTGGTTGGCGGCGCTGGGGCATCAGCGACATGCTTCGCGGACCGCGGCCTTTATTCAGCCTGCTCTCGCAGCAGCCCATGATGGCTTAGCGGTGGCGGCGGACGAAGCGAAAACCTTTTTTTTTTCTAGGGCGCCTAATAAAAACAGCAGCCCATGATGGCTTAGCGGTGGCGGCGGACGAAGCGGAAACCTTTTTTTTTTTTTTTTTTTTTTTTTTTTTTTTTTTTTTTTTTTTTTTTTTTTTTTTTTTTCTAGGGCGCCTAATAAAAACAGCAGCCCATGGTGGCGTCTAACATAATCAACCCATGGCGGTGTTAAAAAGACTACCGGGGTGGCGACTGCACCCAGAAGTTGCTTCTGAGTCGACTCAAATGTCGGTGCCACGTCTAACCATGGCGCCCAAGTGCCGTCTCCTCAGCCTATGGCTGGCTGCCAGCGGCGGGCCTCGAGTTGAGCGGTGCAGAGGGTCACTTTTTGACGCTAACCTACTAGTCGCTAGCACATAGGAGTTGGACAGATACCTCTAATTCGTCGCGCGCAAATCACTAATTTTCAAGGCGCGTGAAAATGTCCATTGAAGTGCCTTTGATTAGCGTTGTTCGAAGTTTTTTTAGAAAGCTGGCGAGAAACATACCGTGTCCCTTTTACTAGAACTAGTACGCGACGCCAGTGGACGCGTCCTAAAATGGTGGGACTGATTAAAGTGGTGCAATATGGTGCACGAGTGCGCGAGAGATAAGCTGAGCAGTTTCAGTAATTAATAGGCTGCGGCAAAAAAATCGAGTGGCTTCACAGCAGTGGGAGATATGAAAGCCGTCCTTCCCAGGCATCCAAAGCAACCATGAGTAATTCTAGTAGAATCATTCACATGCAAAGCAGTTTTGTGGGTTGCATTACGGTTCAGAATGGAAAAACGCCGAAAATCGTTGTCGAATGCTTGGAAACGCACTGAACCGCACTAGAGATTTGTTTTGTGGAAAACCAGAGGCTACATGGAGGAGCAGCAAACCTTGCTGAGCGTCTCGGCAATCAGGACGACGACTTTCCACCGTACGATAAGTGAGTATCGGCCGTTCGATTATCAATGCTGACAAGGCATCGCGCCGCCTGAGGCTGGTTTCGTCTGCAGTAACGTTACGTTACGTCTGTCGCTGTTGCAGTTTCGCAACAGCCGCGTGCTTTACCTGCTTCAAACGAGACGCTTCCACGTGGCTGCCAAAAGGGATGTCCTGCTTTAACTCTCGATACGGAGATACTTCGATTCTGTACATAAAATAGTCTGAATTGAGTTATACAATTATCTGGACCGCGAGTGCCGTGTTTTCCTTGTGTTACCTCAAAATAGCGCTTCGGCAGCTGGTCAGCAGCAGGTCTGACACAATTGCAAGTAACCAATGAATCGTCGCATCCTGGTGGTCCAGGCCAGAAACAAACCTGCAACTTCTGAACCGAAGCACACAAGTTGGCGGGAAACACCCTCGAACCGAGCTGTATAAAGCCAAGCCTCACTGTTTTCGCTGAAAGCAAATCACAGAGCGACACATGACTTCCCGCCCCAGCGAAAATTTGGCCTGGCGAATCTGGAAGTCTTGGTGATGATGCTGAACATGGAGCTCCAAAATGTTTTGATGATGATTTTCGAGTGTGGGCGGTGTTGCACATTTCGATTTCAAAAACCACGGTTCGGTATGGTTTGTTCCGGTCGTAAGCGTTGAAGTACAGAAATCGCTGTCTATCGTGTGGTACCATACGGTAACGCGCTTCTCCATCATCAAACAAACCTGCCACCAGGCTTTCCTGACATCAGTTTGCTAGTCAAGCGATCTGCTACCAGCAATGGCTCCAATTTGTGCTTCGGTTGAAGGGATGGAGATTTCGAAGATTGCATAACCACGCCGACCCATCACCAAACCAGAGTTAGCTTCCGTGGTTCTCGATTTTTCAACTCATTCTGCACGTTAGACTTCGAATGCTGGCAGATGTGACTCGCGAGAGAACTAGAACAATCATACAGACAGTAGTTGCGACCTCAGTTATACGCTAGTTTATGTAGATGAGGAACGTTTCAGCAACAGAATGACGAAAGCTGGAGATCCGTCTGCCATGGCGGACCATCGAGCAGAAAGGCATGGAATTGCCGAACCGTCAGCCACGCCGCGATCGTCGTCGATTGGTGGTAGTTTCGGTTCATCAATCCCAAGTCCTGTAGTTAAACAACGGTTACTATTCCAGTCACCACAAGGAGCATCGGAAGTCCTTATAGCGAAGGAAAACGGTCCAGGTAAGGAGGGAGGCTCTGGTATTCCAGTGTCACCCAGGCCTGGCCTCAAACCTCCAGGAACGGTCACTAGTCTCCGAACCTCGTGGACACCTTCGTCGCGCCTTCCGTCGAACCTGCCGCGTAGGTCAGGCTCGGGTCAAGGCTCGGAGGACGCAGGGGAGCTGAGCCGGACCAGCTCAGCAAGCTCGGATGCCGGAAGCAGGTTCGGGACGGAAACTCCGGGCAGGAGTAGCGCGAGTGACGCCGCGAGTGCTAGTAGAATCCATTACAATGGTGGAGGGAAGGCGACTGGAGTCCTGCGTCCGAGTAATCATGGTACGTTACACCCGTTAAGGTGTAGTTCATTACCTTGAAGAACAAATATTATATGTTATGTAACTGCGGCGTCCGCAGTATACCTGTTTCATAACTGTAGATATTACAAGCGGCGCTTTTTAAGTCTGTCTCCTCAGTCTGTTTCCCTTTTTAAGATCCCCGTCATCCTTTTTCGTCAACTCTGTAAATTTCGTAACACCCGTTTCGCACGGATGCTTTTCCTCGCTGTCCCCGGTAACAGCTGGCGAGCAGGCGGCCTCGTTAGCTGCTGACGTCAAGCCGGAAAGGAGATCGCACCCTGGGCAGGAGCAACGGCAGCGTCAGCAGGATTCGATGCACCAGCAGCATGAGCAGCAGCATCTGCAGCAGGCGCAGCAGGCTGGTGGTAGGTTCGGCTTCAAATCCCCCTCATTGCAAAACCATCGGCAGCACGAATCGCAGCCAACGTCGCCGCTGCTGGCGGCGCAGCAGCCGCGAGGTCACATTCAGCCGGAAGAACGCGTAATTGGAAGCTTCTCCGCAGTTCCGGACGGGTCGGACCGGAGGCTCAGCTTCGGAAGGGTGGAGTCGCAGCTTCGGGTGAAAGAGATGAGAGGCTTGGAGAGGAAAGGTTCGGAGAGGAAAGCCGTTGGGGGAGGTCGGGAGGGGGTTACGCGCGCGGGGGACGGGGAGGAAGCGGCGGAGGAGGAGAGGCGGAGGGAGATTGAGAGGGAGAGAAAGAGGGAGATAGAGAGGGCGATAGAGAGGGAGATGGAGGTTGCGCGAGAGTGGGAGGAGAAGGAGAGGGCGGAGAGGGAAGAGAGGGAGGAGAGGGAGAGGTTGCTGAAGGAAGAAAGGGAGAAAGAGAGGAAGGAGAAGGAGAGAAGAGTTCAGGAAGAGAAGGCAAGGCGTGAACGAGAAGAGAAAGAGAGGGTTGAGAGGGAGAGAGCAGAGAGGGAACGGAAGGAGAGGGAGAAGGCTGAACGGGAAAAGATGGAGAAGGAACGGAAGGAGAGGGAGAGGAGGGAAAGGGAGAGGTTTGAGAGGGAGAGGGTGGAGAGGGAGGAAAGGGAACAGCGGGAGAGAATGGAGCGAGAGTTGGAGGAGCGGAGGGAGAAGGAGAGGCAAGAGGAGCTGGCGAAAGTGAGACAGAGGGAGCGAGAGCGGTTCAGAGAGATTGAGCTGGAGATGGAGTGGCAGAGGCATGTGCGAATCGCAGAAGAACGGCAGAGGGAGAAGGAGAGGGCTGAGGAGCGAGAGAACGAGCGGCGGAGAATGGAAGAGCGGGAGAAGGAGCGGGAGAGGGAGAGGGAGAAGGAGAGGGAGAGGGTGAGAGTGGAGCAGAGGCAGAGAGAGGAGGAGCGGCGGGTGAGGCAGCAGAAAGAAGTCCAGAGGCGAAAGGAGAGGCGCGGAGATGAGCTATCAGGGAAGGCCATGGGGGATCCTCTTCGTGTGATCGCCTGGGTTGCGGGAGCAGGAGTGTCGTCTGCTGCTTTCGGCGAGCCATCCAGCTCGTTTGGAGCACCTTATCAGGTATAAGTTGTGGAATTTTGTTAAGCGGCCATGGGGGGGGGGGGTATCCTCTTCGTGTGATCGCCTGGGTTGCGGGAGCAGGAGTGTCGTCTGCTGCTTTCGGCGAGCCATCCAGCTCGTTTGGAGCACCTTATCAGGTATAAGTTGTGGAATTTTGTTAAGCGGCCATGGGGGGGGGGGTATCCTCTTCGTGTGATCGCCTGGGTTGCGGGAGCAGGAGTGTCGTCTGCTGCTTTCAGCGAGCCTTCTGGCTCGTTTGGTACGCCATATAAGGTAAAACTGAAAGAGGAGCTGAGATTTCCTTAAAATTGCAGCCAAAGGAGACAAGTGCACACATGCCCTTTGCGTTGCGCTCGTAGGTTGGTTCGGCGTGCCATATTGAGTGTTTTTTGTTGCCGTGATTGTTCCTAATGATGCGATTGGAGGTTGATGGTGATTGGTTGCTCATCGTGTTGTGCATGTATTAGGTGTGTCTATGTATGTCCAACTCGTGTTTGTTCTTTCCCTGGGCTCCGGATCATTCTCAGATTGTACGTGATTTAATCATGTGATCGTATGTGTGTCCACTTCGTGTTTTCTCTTTTCCAGGCGTCTCCGGATCATTCTCAGGTGCTGCAGCAGTGGGTGCAGAGAGCAACCCACTTCCACAGCAGGCTCGGATCTGACGTGGCTCCAGCTGACGTGGCTCCAGCTGACGTGGCACCAGCGTCAGCTGTAGCGGACTTTTGGCAGGGTGTTAGGGCAGCAGTGGAGGCGGCAGAGGATGTGGCTATAGCGGGGGATGAGGAGCAGCAGGAGGGCGTGGCTGTGACTGTAGGCGCGTGTGACTTAGCTGCAGTGCGACAGCTGCAGGGGAATGCGAGGAAGCGAGGTAAGATGCCACTAGCAAACCATCCACCCCACCTACCAACCACCCTTCCCTTAGCCTTTTCTCCTCAACCCCACCTGGGTGCTATTTTGTCCTTTATGTTCACATTCCCCCAATCTCTCATTCCCCCAATCTCTCATTCCCCCAATCTCTCATTCCCCCAATCTCTCATTCCCCCAATCTCTCATTCCCCCAATCTCTCATTCCCCCAATCTCTCATTCCCCCAATCTCACATTCCCCCAATCTCTCATTCCCCCAATCTCTCATTCCCCCAATCTCACATTCCCCCAATCTCTCATTCCCCCAATCTCTCATTCCCCCAATCTCTCATTCCCCCAATCTCTCATTCCCCCAATCTCTCATTCCCCCAATCTCTCATTCCCCCAATCTCACATTCCCCCAATCTCTCATTCCCCCAATCTCTCATTCCCCCAATCTCTCATTCCCCAATCTCTCATTCCCCCAATCTCACATTCCCCCAATCTCTCATTCCCCCAATCTCTCATTCCCCCAATCTCTCATTCCCCCAATCTCTCATTCCCCCCAATCTCTCATTCCCCAATCTCTCATTCCCCCAATCTCTCATTCCCCCAATCTCTCATTCCCCCAATCTCTCATTCCCCCAATCTCTCATTCCCCCAATCTCTCATTCCCCCAATCTCTATTCCCCAATTCTCCCCCAATCTCTCATTCCCCCAATCTCTCATTCCCCCAATCTCTCATTCCCCCAATCTCTCATTCCCCCAATCTCTTCATTCCCCAATCTCTCATTCCCCCAATCTCTCATTCCCCCAATCTCTCATTCCCCAATCTCTCATTCCCCCAATCTCTCATTCCCCCAATCTCTCATTCCCCCAATCTCTCATTCCCCCAATCTCATCATTCCCCCAATCTCTCATTCCCCCAATTCTCTCTCATTCCCCCAATCTCTCATTCCCCCAATCTCTCATTCCCCCAATCTCTCATTCCCCCAATCTCTCATTCCCCCAATCCTCACATTCCCCCAATCTCTCATTCCCCAATCTCTCATTCCCCCAATCTCTCATTCCCCCAATCTCTCATTCCCCCAATCTCACATTCCCCCAATCTCTCATTCCCCCAATCTCTCATTCCCCAATCTCTCATTCCCCCAATCTCTCATTCCCCCAATCTCTCATTCCCCCAATCTCTCATTCCCCCAATCTCTCATTCCCCCAATCTCTCATTCCCCCAATCTCTCATTCCCCCAATCTCTCATTCCCCCATCTCTCATTCCCCCAATCTCTCATTCCCCCAATCTCTCATTCCCCAATCTCTCATTCCCCCAATCTCTCATTCCCCCAATCTCTCATTCCCCCAATCTCTCATTCCCCCAATCTCTCATTCCCCCAATCTCTCATTCCCCCAATCTCTCATTCCCCCAATCTCTCATTCCCCCCCTAATCTCTCATTCCCCCAATCTCAATCATTCCCCCAATCTCATCATTCCCCCAATCTCACATTCCCCCAATCTCACATTCCCCCCAATCTCTGCATTCCCCCAATCTCTCATTCCCCCAATCTCTCATTCCCCCAATCTCTCATTCCCCCAATCTCTCATTCCCCCAATCTCTCATTCCCCCAATCTCTCATTCCCATCCTCATTCCCCCAATCTCTCATTCCCCCAATCTCTCATTCCCCCAATCTCTCATTCCCCCAATCTCTCATTCCCCCAATCTCTCATTCCCCCAATCTCTCATTCCCCCAATCTCTCATTCCCCCAATCTCTCATTCCCCCAATCTCTCATTCCCCCAATCTCTCATTCCCCCAATCTCTCATTCCCCCAATCTCTCATTCCCCCAATCTCTCATTCCCCCAATCTCTCATTCCCCCAATCTCTCATTCCCCCAATCTCACATTCCCCCAATCTCTCATTCCCCCAATCTCTCATTCCCCCAATCTCTCATTCCCCCAATCTCTCATTCCCCCAATCTCTCATTCCCCCAATCTCTCATTCCCCCAATCTCTCATTCCCCCAATCTCTCATTCCCCCAATCTCTCATTCCCCCAATCTCTCATTCCCCCAATCTCTCATTCCCCCAATCTCTCATTCCCCCAATCTCTCATTCCCCCAATCTCTCATTCCCCCAATCTCTCATTCCCCCAATCTCTCATTCCCCCAATCTCTCATTCCCCCAATCTCTCATTCCCCCAATCTCTCATTCCCCCAATCTCTCATTCCCCCAATCTCTCATTCCCCCAATCTCTCATTCCCCCAATCTCACATTCCCCCAATCTCACATTCCCCCAATCTCTCATTCCCCCAATCTCACATTCCCCAATCTCTCATTCCCCCAATCTCTCATTCCCACCAATCTCTCATTCCCCCAATCTCTCATTCCCCCAATCTCTCATTCCCCAATCTCTCATTCCCCCAATCTCTCATTCCCCCAATCTCTCATTCCCCCAATCTCTCATTCCCCCAATCTCTCATTCCCCCAATCTCTCATTCCCCCAATCTCTCATTCCCCCAATCTCTCATTCCCCCAATCTCTCATTCCCCAATCTCTCATTCCCCCAATCTCCCATTCCCCCAATCTCTCATTCCCCCAATCTCCATTCCCACAATCCTCTCATTCCCCCAATCTCTCATTCCCCCCAATCTCACATTCCCCCAATCTCTCATTCCCCCAATCTCTCATTCCCCCAATCTCTCATTCCCCAATCTCTCATTCCCCCAATCTACTCATTCCCCCAATCTCTCATTCCCCCAATCTCTCATTCCCCCAATCTCTCATTCCCCCATCCCCAATCTCTCATTCCCCCAATCTCTCATTCCCCCAATCTCTCATTCCCCCAATCTCTCATTCCCCCAATCTCTCATTCCCCCAATCTCTCATTCCCCCAATCTCTCATTCCCCAATCTCTCATTCCCCCAATCTCCATTCCCCCAATTCTCTCATTCCCCCAATCTCTCATTCCCCCAATCTCTCATTCCCCCAATCTCCATTCCCCCAATCTCTCATTCCCCCAAATCTCTCATTCCCCCAATCTCTCATTCCCCCAATCTCTCATTCCCCCAATCTCTCATTCCCCCAATCTCTCATTCCCCCAATCTCTCATTCCCCCAATCTCTCATTCCCCCAATCTCTCATTCCCCCAATCTCATCATTCCCCCATCTCATCATTCCCCCAATCTCTCATTCCCCCAATCTTCACATTCCCCCAATCTCTCATTCCCCCAATCTCTCATTCCCCCAATCTCTCATTCCCCCAATCTCTCATTCCCCCCAATCTCTCATTCCCCCAATCTCTCATTCCCCCAATCTATCAATTCCCCCAATCTCTCATTCCCCCAATCTCTCATTCCCCCAATCTCTCATTCCCCCAATCTCTCATTCCCCAATCTCCATTCCCAATCTCTCATTCCCCCAATCTCTCAGTCCCCCAATCTCTCATTCCCCAATCTCTCATTCCCCAATCTCTCTTCCCCCATCTCTCATTCCCCCAATCTCTCATTCCCCCAATCTCTCATTCCCCCAATCTCTCATTCCCCCATCTCTCATTCCCCCAATCTCACATTCCCCCAATTCTCATCATTCCCAACAATCTCTCATTCCCCCAATCTCTCATTCCCCCAATCTCTCATTCCCCCAATCTCTCATTCCCCAATCTCTCATTCCCCCAATCTCTCATTCCCACCAATCTCTCTTCCCCAATCTCTCATTCCCCCAATCTCACATTCCCCCAATCTCTCATTCCCCCAATTCTCTCATTCCCCAATCTCAATCATTCCCCCAATCTCTCATTCCCCCAATCTCACATTCCCCCATCTCACATTCCCCCAATCTCTCATTCCCCCAATCTCTCATTCCCCCAATCTCACATTCCCCCAATCTCTCATTCCCCCAATCTCTCATTCCCCCAATCTCTCATTCCCCATCTCTCATTCCCCCAATCTCATCATTCCCCCAATCTCTCATTCCCCCAATCTCTCATTCCCCCAATCTCATCATTCCCCAATATCTCTCATTCCCCCAATCTCTCATTCCCCCAATCTCTCATTCCCCCAATCTCTCATTCCCCCAATCTCTCATTCCCCCAATCTCTCATTCCCCCAATCTCTCATTCCCCCAATCTCTCATTCCCCCAATCTCTCATTCCCCCAATCTCTCATTCCCCCAATCTCTCATTCCCCCAATCTCTCATTCCCCAATCTCTCATTCCCCCAATCTCTCATTCCCCCAATCTCTCATTCCCCCAATCTCTCATTCCCCCAATCTCTCATTCCCCAATCTCTCATTCCCCCAATCTCTCATTCCCCAATCTCTCATTCCCCAATCTCTCATTTCCCCCAATCTCTCATTCCCCCAATCTCTCATTCCCCCAATCTCTCATTCCCCCAATCTCTCATTCCCCCAATCTCTCATTCCCCCAATCTCATCATTCCCCCAATCTCTCATTCCCCACAATCTCTCATTCCCCCAATCTCTCATTCCCCCAATCTCTCATTCCCCCCATCTCTCATTCCCCCAATCTCTCATTCCCCAATCTCTACATTCCCCCAATCTCTCATTCCCCAATCTCTCATTCCCCAATCTCTCATTCCCCCAATCTCTCATTCCCCCAATCTCTCATTCCCCCAATCTCTCATTTCCCCCAATCTCTCATTCCCCCAATCTCTCATTCCCCCAATCTCTCATTCCCCAATCTCTCATTCCCCCAATCTCTCATTCCCCCAATCTCTCATTCCCCCAATCTCTCATTCCCCAATCTCTCATTCCCCCAATCTCTCATTCCCCAATCTCTCATTCCCCAATCTCTCATTCCCCCAATCTCTCATTCCCCAATCTCTCATTCCCCCAATCTCTCATTCCCCCAATCTCTCATTCCCCCAATCTCTCATTCCCCCAATCTCTCATTCCCCCATCTCTCATTCCCCCAATCTCACATTCCCCCAATCTCACATTCCCCCAATCTCTCATTCCCCCAATCTCATCATTCCCCCAATCTCTCATTCCCCCAATCTCTCATTTCCCCCAATCTCTCATTCCCCCAATCTCTCATTCCCCCAATCTCTCATTCCCCCAATCTCT